TCCTGCATGGGAGAGGCATAGTCCAGCAGTGATGTTATATTATTTTTTCACAGTCTTCTGGCCTTCCTGATGTGCTTATCTAAAATCCTCGTCTTTGTGGTAAATAAGGTGCTGTTCCAACAAACTACACCATAATAGCAGCTAAAGCCATCAGAGCCTTCCTTTTCAAAAGCTATAGTCATATTTCTATAGTTTATTGGTCAGGTCAACTCCCTGGGACTTACAGCAGTCCACAACTTCAATATTAGTTTCCTGGATTTTAACCAGTGTGGTGGGTCTGTGATGGTAGAAATCCACTACCTGCTAATTTGGTTTTCAGATGGCTTCAGACAATGTGACCACCACACAGAGCCAGCACAGAGAAAACCTCTAAATATTCATGCTCTGTCAGGAAGAAAGCTATCAGATGACTCTGGGTAGAATGACAAAGTAATTTCTGATATTTAGATAGGAAGCTAATATTTTGCTAAATAAATCATTGAAAAACATTTAGCTGTATGAAAAATTAAATTGTTATCATTTATGATTTAACAGAAATCTTTACTCCCAGAGTGCCGGTTTAATAATGGTTCCAAGAATTTTGAAAATAGGGAGCTGATCTTTAGTCATCAGGCTGGAACCTGATATCTGGATCCAGCTACCAGTTTTAGTCCGTGAGGGAGACACCCTGTCCACTTTAAAAACTTTCCTTTTTGATAAAGCTTATAGTTAGAGAGGCTCAGGTTATCCTGAGCTATCTCTATAGTTATGCTGCTATAGGCTTAGACTTTTGGAGGACATAGGGACCAATTTTCCTCCTCAATTTTCCTATTACTCTTAATCTTTTTGATTAACCGTCATCACTTTTTTTTTTAAAATAAGGACTTCAAGTTTGATAAACAGATAGTCTTTAACTGAGTTCACTTATATCGCCTTCAATTTCTAGATCTAATTAACCAAGTTTTAATCTCCTGAGAATAATTAATGCCTGAATCATGTTTTAAATGCTACTGTAATGAGCTATTTCCTGGTGCTAACTACACTCCTAAGACCTTCACAGTGAGTCTAAAATGCAGAAGCTAAGTTTTAGCAGATAAATTTCAGATAAACATTGCTGCGATTTTGATGATATATATCAATATACACTTTAGTCTTGTACTCTGGTACACTGATCAAATCTACCTTGGTAACTTATGTCAACTTTGGTTGTCTTACATAATCTTTTGACACTATTGTATTTTTTGTGCTTATACAATTATAGAAATGTATAATTGTTATAGGTTCTGTACTATATTAATGTACTCTGGATGGTTGTGTCTGATTCCAGTACAGTACTTTGGGAACAGAGACTAGTGCATCCTAAGGATAAAACCCCCAGACCTATTATGAGTTGAGTGGTGTCTGCAGTTCAATGCAGTGAGGAATGCTCTAATCTTTATATTGGAGAAACCAAATAACCTCCAGAGACGCATGACCCAACACAGAAGAGCGCCCTCCTCTGGACAAGACTCTGCGGTACATCTACATCTTATGGACAAAGGACATTCTTTGGAGGACCAGAATGTTCACATTTTGGATAAAGAAAATAGGTGGGTTGAGAGGGGTGTGAAGGAAGCCATCTGTGTTAAGAGAGAAAAACCAACCTAAAACAGAGGAGGTGGACTCAGATTTCAGCTTTCAAAAACCTGCAATGCAGCAATTGAGTTGATTCCTTCCAGCTATTATTGCATCCCCAACCCCTTTACAGGGGAAGAGAAGACCTCGCCTATTCAGCCAGACCAACAATTCCCTTTAAAGACCGCCTTCAGAGACATAGGCAGGTACGGGCATTGCAGGCTAACAAAGAAGCCAAACGACCCCCATTCCAAAGGGGTGGACCAGTTCATCTGTTTCAGTTTGCATGTTTTCTAAACAAAAAGAGCCTTTGTTGTGGTCCACTCTATAAAGCCTTAAACTCAACGCTATTTCTGACATTTTGGATTGAAAAAGCTTCCTTGGTGGGAAGAGAAATATCTTCAGACTTTTCAGACATTTTTGGAATACTTTGGAAACTGATTTCTTAATCATGCTCTGTAAAGATAGGTACTGATTTATGAATTATTTAGATTTCTTGCTGACCTTTTCTTTGTATTCTGTTTATTCCTCTCTATAGAAGAAAACCTCAGCATTCACTCCTCTCTCTTTCCAGGAAGGAACAATCTACTGATGCTCATTAAACATTTTGTTCTACTTTTCTGTGTCCTTCCATGTTTGATCTGGTCTGTTTTCTGGGCAAAACCACTGAAACTACTGCTGGGAATTACAATATGAAAACCTGCTGTGTTTTCCATCCTTAGACTGCATTACTAACTCAGAGCTGATCTGTTTAGCTGTTTGGTCCCAGATGGAGCCATTCATTGAGCCATTGCTTATTGAGTATCTGTGGCGCAGCAGACCACCATCCCTGATAAAACGGTTTCTTAAAGCAAGTTCAAATCTAGATTTAATCAGACCAACTTCCTTTGTTATCTTTTTATCACCTTGAGTTTGACTGTATATGAGGATATTGTTATTGCTCAATAAAATAAAGGAATTCAAAGTTTTCTTTTCTTCAATGCACAGATGATTGTTTAGAAATGAATCCTGGGGCAAATCTAAACACATGTGATTTATTTTATTTTTTACATTTAACTGTTTATTAGTATTTTTCACAGTGGTTTACAAACACAGTGTACATGAACACTCCACATTCAACATATCATAAAACCTTTGCTTGGGAGCCATTTCTCTATTTCACCTTTGTCCCATCTAGTTGATCTAGTTCTTTATTTTTTTGTCGCTGTCTCTTGTCTTGAAATTTGTCCATTTCTTCCACTTTTTTTCCAGTTTGCTGAATTCTCAATCGATGTGTCTGTTTTTCCATAATGCAGACTTCCTCTATTATTCCAGTCTGAATTCATATGAATTTTTAAAAGTTATTACAAGTTTGCCACTTAAAGATGGAAAAGTGTAAAAGTTCATAAAGCTTCTGGATCAGATTTTCTGTGCTGGTGGCGAAACCTTCAGTAATGGAGCATCTCTGGGACATTTACATTTACCCATTAAAAATAGAACATTATTTATGTTTGGGATAAAAAATTTATCCTTTAATCAGCTAATTAAAAATCTTTAAAAACTGACAAAGCATCACCGACCTTCTCAGGCTGGATCTACAGCGTTCCTGCAGTTAAACCTTCAGCTGGTTCACCTTCAAGATCCAATGTGCAGAGGTGCTTAAAGCATTCATGTTTATTACTCCAGTAGAATAAAGCCTACTGTTTAAAAACACTTTAGTAGAAGTTAGAGAATCAACTTCAGCTTTTTACTCCAGTAAAAGTTTAAAAGTACCATTTTAAAACTACTTAAAGTATAAAAGTAAAAGTAATGCAGGAAAAATGTTGAGGACAGAAGCTTTACTGCTCTACCCTATTAAAGGAGCAATGATAACTTCCTTAGACTTTATTTTCTTAGTTTTCTAACTAATGGTATCAGTGTCACGTTTAACTTTGCATCATTTTGAAAAATCTTTTTATTTTGGTTTGTGGTGAGCAACAAGTTGGGGCAGCAACGAGTCCAGCTACAAAAAACTGTCTGGATGAAACTAATTATTTTGATGGTTTTTATTTAATTAAGCACCAAACAGCCACAATGAAAAAAAAGCTTAAATGAAACAAAACTAACGAGTCTATTTTTAAAATGTAAGGAATATAAGTTAAAAGTTGTCTAAAAATAATCACTCCAGTAAAGTATAGATGGACAACATTCCTCCTAAAGTAACAGAGTATTTGTACTTTATTACTTCACACCCCTGAAACTGTGGTCAGGTTTTAGGAAATGCAAAACTAGAGAAACTAGAGTTTTGGAAAATGGAGCGGATCTAGTAGAAAAAACAGATCATTTGATTTTGACCCCAAAAATAGTAAATCTATGGATGTCTATTTTGGGATTAAAGAAACATCCCAGTGTGATAAACGAAGGGATCTCCATCCAACATGAAAGATTATACTCATTATTCAAGGTGAGTTTCCCTAAAGAAAAAGCAAAGACTCAAACACACTCAGACACATTTAGAACAACAGGTGAGAAGCTTAGAAAAAGAGCAACATGCAGATAAAAGCGATGATTTAGTGATTAAAAACAAGATTTCTGCAGAAGCAGGATTGTGTAATTATATTACTAAACCACAAGGTGTCGCTGTTGCTCTGGTTAGATCAGGTTTGTAACAAAGCTCCACCACCATCCAGAGCCTGGACCTAATGACCACTGTGTGCATCAGTAGCTGGTTTTAGTCTGTAGGGCTGCTGTGTTTTTATTTTTATTTTTCCAGAGGGGATAAAGAAAAGTAGAAAAAATAAAATAGTGAGCAATAGCAGTTAATCTTTAATATATCAAAGGAGCCAAAGGATGTCTGTGGGGCTGCAGGAGGCAGACCCCCCCAACAATGTATATCAACTCTCTGCTCCTATTCTATCTAGATAGCCATTTACTTTTTAAACTGTAAAAAATTGTGAAATTTACCCATCATATAGTGCTGTATCAGCAAATATCATCTTAAGAAAATGATTTAGTATTATATCATCAGTGCAGAACAGCCGATGATTGTGAGCTGCAGTGTGAAACCAACACGAGGCTTTTTCTGCAGGATCGGCCTCCTGATGAGACCATGACACAAGATGAACCTCATCTAACCCAGTTTACTCAGCGCTGAAGGAAAGTAGATCATGTCAGGGTGGCGGTCATCTGTTTATAGCCGACCTCTGACACCAAAGAGGAGGAAAACCTGAGTCACTCAGACTGAATCATGAATCCTTCAGACTGAATCCTAACAGGATGTGTTGATGGCTGTATAACTTTTATTAAATCGTAAAAACAGGATTTTCTCCAAATGTTGACAGATTATCACAGAATAACGCCTCAACTAAGAAACAAAATCTTCTACTTCTTGTTTGTACAAAACATGTCACTCCGAGTTCAAAATGATCAACAATTTTATTTAGAAAAACAGAAAAACTCAAAAGATAAGGCTTGAAAACGCAAACAGGAGAACAAACAGGTAGCTGTGACGAGAGGCAGAATCACATCTGAGCCTGCAGGTAATGTTCATAGTTCGCTCGAAGGACAAATTCAAAGCAGGGCTTTGATTTCAAAGTGCTCAACTCCTCGTGTTCCAGCAGCTCTTTGACCTCAGGCAGGTAGGTCTGCAGAGGAACACCTGGAAAACACACAGAACGAGAACTCACTGCTGACATCTGCAGCACAGATACACTTTCATCCCAGGCATTCTGATCATAGACTCAACATTGAGATTTAATGTCAAATACATGCCTATGTGATG